TTTTTTTTTTTTGTTACAAAACGAAAGTTTAAAACAAAGGTTAAAACAAAAGAAAGAGAATAACAGAAGTTTAAGGTTGAAGAAGAGAGCACCGGTGAGTTGAAAGTGGTGTATGATGAGGAGTTGCATGGAAAAGAAGAAGAAAGAAAAGAGTCATAACAAAATCAAATTTGCTAACTGACGAGGTGTGAGGAGTAGGGAGCGAAATATGGCAAAAAAAAAAACGTTTTTTGTCTTATACAAGAAATGTTTCTTTCGTTACAACTTCCTTCCTAAATCTTGATCTTTCGTTATAATAACAATGGCTAATTTTCAATTCCTCCAAAGTTTTTTAGATTCAAGTTTCAGCTCCTTTCTTATGCAAGAGTCGTTGTCACTGATCCTTGACGCTTTTTTGACAGTTGGAAAGGAGCGCATAAGTGCAAATTGAGGTTGAAGGACGAGAAATTAGAGCCAATTTTTGATAAAGTAAACTCTAGGCGGCAGGGCAAACTTGAACTACCTCGAATAGTTCATTTTTGAAAACAATTTATCAAAGTTTCAGCAGTACTTTAGTAAATTCCTCGTTTGAAAGGTGTACTGGTTGTTTCTTGCGTTTTCAAGAACAAAAAGTAAGAAAGCCGTTAAAGTGATCAAGAACTGCAGTAGCAAAGTGGCACGCTGTAATTTACCAAAGAGATGTTGAGCTAAGGTGGTAAGCCTTTTCGCACCGCAAGGGCAATAAAAGAAGGGAATGACCAGGTTTTAGGAGACAATGGTGGAAAGTAGCACTACCGATCAAAAGCTTGTGGGATGGGTTATTATTTAGTTGTCAGATTTTGCTTACAGAGTAGTTTACCATTAGGCCCGTTACTGTCAAAACATGTTTTATAGTATGTTCTTTTGATGAAAACGTGAACGCTAGTTGGATGAATTGCTCTCCAAAAAGCTTTCAATTATTCTAAAGAAGCAACATCGCTGGTTAGAAGGAACGAAAGCCTAACATAGGATGGGGGGTGGGCATGGGAACCGAAAAGAAGAAGTTAAAAAAACTGGGGTGGTTTGGGAACGTAAAAGGAAGGAAAAAAATATGCAACAGGTTAGATTTCCGCTGTATTCGTTTTTACTCAACAATTTCCTAAAAAAGTATCGAAAAATTTTTGTTTCTATGCATATATCGTATATACTGCGGTAGTTTTTAGTTGCTTTATTATGCAGCCATAAAAACAATGGCTTAATCACACATATACGACAACACTCTTTCGTCATTTCACTTATTCTGCGTAGTGCATTTGTAATTTTTTAATACAATAACTTATTTATAGCCTAGATATGCAATTTTATACCCAACTCAAAGAATCCGTCAAGCAGACACTTTGCTATGTGGTTATAATGTTTAATATTGGAGGAGAAAAACAGTGAGATTGAAAAGCGTCAACGAATTGATGAATGCTGTCAAAATAAATGAGTGGAAAAAACAGCAAATTTTTCACAAATTTATTGCACTGTTTAATGGCTTTACACAGTTTGAGGAATCAGCAAAGGAGTGGAATGATGATAAGAGTAACACTGGTAAAAAATTTGGTGAACCGTATTTGAAGAAATTGAGATTGGTTACAACTGAGCAACAGCTTTTTTTTAGTCTTTATTTGGTCCATACTGCGCAAATCATAAGCTTCGGGCAAATTTTACAGATGTTATTGCTTCATCAAAATTCTAAGTTTTGGATTTTATTTTGCCTGAAAAAAGAAAATTTATTTGATTGTTGTTAGACGCTACTGGAATCATTAGTTTTGTTTTCTTCTATAAACAAACCGTAAACGAAACCGTAAACGGATGTAAAAAAAAGTCTTTCAGACCAATAAATGGAATAGAGCAAGAATTTTTTGATAAAAATTTTTTTTGTGCGTAATTGACATTTGTGAAAAAATTAAAATTTTAGAGCTGTTCGTTTGTTACTGTTATGGAAATTCATACAATTTGATGTAGGGAGACATTGTCAGAAAGTGCTCAGAGAATTCGATCAGTGATAACTGATAAAACTGATCAGCAAATTCCATCTGCTGATCAAGCGTCAAAAAAAAAGCTTTATGCTATTATTTAGAAATCGAGCATTTTAGTGACGTTTAAAAGTGGAAGAAAATAAAAGGTATCAATGTATTTTTCTTTTTATTTATTTTCTTAAAAAACTTACATTTCATGCTGTGGTTGATTTTTTGAATCTTGGTCGTAGTTGCTCAATCAGTTGTCTAAACAAATTTGAAATTGTTTGTGTACGTAATATACTATGTCAAAGAAATGCTACAAGTTGCTCTGCATCACCTTCACCTAATTTTGGTGTCACTATAGAGTTTTTTTCATTGTTGAGAAACTACTCACCAGAAATATTTGAGAAACATTTCAGGTAAGCATAAAACTGTTTAGTTACCCAGATGAACCGCTGAGATTGTCAACGGTTCGTTTGAAATGTGGTTTAAGTTGATCAATCAGATAATCGTAATCCCGTTTGAAATGCGGCTGAAGTTTCTCGACCAGATCGTGACCATAGTTTCGTTTAAAATGTGGACTCAGTTCTTGCAATAACAGATTTTCGTTACTTCGTTTGAAATGTGGTTTTAGTTGGCTGATTAGTTCTGGTTCATAATTACGTTTAAAATGCGGTTTTAGTTGCCCCATCAGTTGTTGTAAAAAAAATTCCTCACTTTCACGAATTTCTCGCGGCACAAGAAAGCCGCCTGAAAAAACTGCACGAACCAGTCATTCAAAAACACGACAATTACTAGTTGTAATATTAAAACCACTGATATTATTGATACATTTTAATGACATAATTAGAAAGCTAATAACAACAGCAGCTAACTGTAGTACTCTTTTGCACTACATTGTTTAAAATAATCTGCACAAAATGAACTTTTTTTCACAAATCACAGTACAGAAAAGTAACAATTTTTAAACCTCCAAGTGCGTTTCCATCATTAATCTCTTCGCTGGCATAACAGGCTCGTGAAATCGTCCACACTAATACCACAGAAATTATTGGTGTCGTAAAAAACATTCTTCACTCTATGAATGTATATAAAACCTATCTCGGTTTTCTTCTCGTTTTTTTGCTTCTGAAAAGAAAAGTCAAAAATGATTTTCAAATTTAACGTTAATTAAAATTAATTCTTTTTACAACTTGATCGATAGTTATTAATTGTTAACGCAGAAGAAAACATGGTTAGAAAATTAAAAAGTAATGTCGATATGACAATTTATTAGAACAATTTATTAAGTGTAGACCATCGTCTTCCTGTTTTTTTTTTTTTTTTTTTTTGATTTTTGTTATTCAGCTAGGCAGTGAGTATTGAGGTAATTAAAATGTTTGACATGCTCTATTCTTTTTTTTAAATAATGGACTAAAAAGCAGCTAAAAGAGACAACTTTCTGCCTTACCTTAATCTAATCTTCTAAATAATCAATGATTTTCAGATTAATTATTGAATTGCGACAATCTGTTGCATAGGTGACTGTATATGAATTTTCATCACTTGAAAAGTAAACTCTTATTATTGATACTACGCTTAGTTAATAGTCAACAGTTACAGTAAAGATGGAATTTTCCTCAGATATAAACTGTTTAGCAGTTAAAATAGACTCATGGTAAACCGAAAACAACGAGATTAAATGCTCCCGTTGACGATGTATACAATGAGGTGTTGTTATCGCAAACACCAACAGAATTCAAACTATAACGTAGAAAGGAATGGGAAAAAAGGTAAAAAAGTAAAATTTTTTTGGTAATAAACTGCTGAAATAAAAAAGAGTGTGCACACTTGTTCAAAGAAAACGTTAAAATGATCTGAAAACAAGCTTTCTTTTAGCAACAATCTTTGTTCACTTTTATAGTACTAAAAAGCCATTAATATCAAATGCATTAATCTATAATGAGAGGCTTTTGACGAGACTGCATCATCATCATTGTCATCATCATCATCATCATCATCATCATCATCATCATCACCACCATCATCATCATCATTATCGTTGTCGTCGTCGTCGTCGTCGTCGTCGTTGTCGTCGAAGTATTCATTGTTATCTTCACTATCAGCATTATAATCGTCATATAAAAATGTATGAGTCAAATTTATTCGCTCTTTTCTTTCTGTCTTTCTTCGCTATTGTTTCTCTCCTTTACATCCTCAAAAAACTTCCACTCTTAAGTATGGTAACAAAGCAATGTAGAGTTTGGTCAAGCAGTGATTTGACAGCTGATATCTCAATCGTCGTTGACTAATTAATTTTCAGTTAAACAGTCGGAAGACCTCTGAAGTATATCAGCTATAATCAGCAAAAGTAACCTATGAGTAGAAAAAAATTTAAGTTTTTCCCTTTTTTCCCAACCCTTATTGAATATTATTTTTCAGTGCGAAAACCAAGCTTTTAAGCAGATAAACAAGTAAAGAAGCAAACAACGAAGAGAAACATGTTGGTCATGCTCTTACGTCAATTTTTTCTCTCATATCTATCGTTTGTGTTATTAATACATCAACAATGACCAATTTTTTTTTTTTGTTTGTGGGTATTTTTAAATGAAAGTTGCATATCAATGCAGATTTTTGACAGCAGAACAGATTTTGATGTCAAATTTGTCAAAAATAGCCAATTCAACCGAATCTATCTGTACCCATCAGTGGAACACCATTGTCAGACTTTTTAATCGAACAGTGAAAGACAAAAAAGTTCTGCTCTTTTTCGGTTGTTTCAAATGACGTTTACTTAATGAAGCTGCAGAATATTATTTTTAGTAGAAATGCCTGCAAAACGACTGAATAGGCTGAATAAAGTTCAAATGGTGAAATCTTAAACTTTCAACACTCTTTAGGAACTGCTCAGCCAATAGTCAATTATGGTGGCAACTCTGACCAAATGACAACAATAAAAATAATAATAATGAAAGAAATAATAAATGAGACAAGATAAGCGTATAGTAGATTATTTTTTGCTTATTCTTTCATTTCAAAAAAAGAAATATAATCAAAATGATAACGTTGACAACTATAAAATAGTTTACACGTTACAAAATGTGATATCGTTCATCTTATTCATATATTAACGACAGCAACAACTTTAAACCTATACAGATACCCGAAATAAGAACGGTTTATTTTTATTGAATTTGCTCACAAAATATTAGGAA